CACTGAACCTCGGCCGATTTCCTTATCTGCCTCAGTCGCAACAGATGTCGGTGATGAAATTAGGTATGCACTTTTCTTCAGAACCGTTAGTCTCAACCTAATGAGCGTGGGTTTTCTGCTGCGTTTGTCGAGCGCGCGTCCTGCCATCTCCCGGGCCGTTTGGGGATCTTCCGCTGCCCGTCGCCCAGGTGACGCCACCGTTTGCCTGCAGGTGGCGATCCTAGGTGGTGCGGATGACGAGATTCAAGAGGTGGCCTTCCAGTACGGCAGGAACGTGGGCATGGCGTTCCAGCTGGTGGACGATCTGCTGGACTTCGTGTCGTCCTCCAATCTGATGGGGAAGCCGGCGGCGGCGGACCTGAGACTGGGCCTAGCCACGGCGCCGGTGTTGTTCGCGTGCGAGAAGGTGAGCCGCTTCCGGCGCGCCGGGCCGCGCACTACAGACCTGTCGTATGTCAGGGGTGCCTGGCTGTCTGCCTTTCGGGCCAAATTGGACTGTTTTGGACCAGTGATGATGACGAGGATGACCAGTGACGATGCTAGTGTGACCATGCGCTGACATATATCCCCGAGTAATTGCATGTATTAGGAGCTCCTTCACCACATGGTTTATGGGCCGAAAGCCCCAGAGACCACTGCTTCGTCGTGATTGGCGAATGGTTAGTCAGCCGCACTACGTTAAAATTACATGTAATTTGCCAGTATGTCGCAATCGTTTGCGAGAATGACTGCATTGCCACTCAATCTGTTTCTCAAGTGCCTATGAAACGTAAGTTTTTAGCAACAGACTAAGTTTACGTAAGTTGTTCAGTGCATTAGCGAGGGACGTTATTCACATGGATAAGACAGTAGTACTAGCCTTATTCCTCGGATAAAAATTTGCTTTTTGCCTTCAGCTATTGTTTTGATAAAGGCACGTTGCCGAAATATTAACCCAACTACATCGCCATTTTCCTGATTTTTTTTCTCTCCGGGAATAAGGCTAATACTACTGCCTTACAGACTAAATTTATATGAGAGGCCCTTCATCGTAGCATCTATGCAATAATCTGATGTCATTTCTCCTGCCTTTATCATGACTGTTAAGTGATCATGTGTGACGTGTAGAAAAAGTATTGAACTAACACAACAGCGAAAAAACTGACGAGCTCGTCTCAATGACTAAGCTGCTGCCGCCAGTGCTACGTTGGTTGTCTCCGTGCAACATCTCTGCCTGGTTGCCGCACGTCTTTGTTACCATCGCGTTTGTTTGAGTGCTGTCCGCGCTGCCATGTGCTGCCGGTGTGGCGGTATTGCCGTCCTGCCGTGTGTGCCCGTGTGGTGGTGTTGCCGCCCCGCCGTGCGTTGCCGTGTGTTGCCCGTGTGGCGGTATTGCCGTCCCGCCGTGTGTTGCCCGTGTGTTGCCGTGTGGTGGTGTTGCCGTCCTCCGTGTGTTGCACGTGTGCCGGTGTGGTGGTGTTCCGTCCCTCCGTGTGTTGCACGTGTGGTGGTGTTGCCGCCCCGCCGTGCGTTGCCGTGTGTTGCCGGTGTGATGGTGTTGCCGTCCGCCGTGCGCGGACCGCCGTGTGACGTGCCGCCCGTCGCCAGTTCCCGGAACTGAACCCGATGATCATGCGTCGCTTCACGGAGCCCGGCGACGTGGAGAAGGCGTACCGCTGGGTCATGGACTCGGAGGGTCCGCGGCAGACCCGCATCCTGGCCGAGACCCACTGCGCTGAAGCCATCCGGCACATCAGCCAGCTGCAGACGTCGCCTGAGCAGCGCAGTCTGGTCCAGCTGACGGACCGCGTGCTCAATAGGATGAAGTAGTGCGCCGACGCCGGCCGGCTGTTGGGCGGCGCCGACGCCGGCGAACGCGGCCGGCCGGCTGTTGGGCGGTCTGGCCCACGGCCGCGGTCACAGACGGGCTTGTCTGGGCCAGACGCGACCTGCCGCGCCGGCCTGTCCGGCAATGGAGGCGGCCGCGGGCGACGCCGCAGCCGCCGTCTGGCGCGGGCACCGCCGCGTGCTTGGGAGTGGGGTGTGTCGAAGTGTCTGCTGGGGGGACTACACGCGGAGCTGGGCTGGGGCCTGCGTTCAGAGGGGTGCTGAGGGGTCGCTGGTGCGAGGGCAGCTGGGCGCGACTCCCCTGAGTGTGGGTGTGTGTGCGCGGCTGGCGCACAAGTTGTGGTGTGGGCTGAGTGACCGCTGGACTGTGCTCCCTGGCGGAAGCGTCAGCGAGCTTGTGTGGGAGGGCGCCCGCACAGCACCGTCCGATCACTGGGCCGGAGCTATGGTGTGAAGCGGCGCTCGTGTCGGGCCCGAGCGAGCCGCGGGTCCGCGCGTGTGTCTGTGTGAGCCCGTCTAGCCTGCGAGAGGGCAGGCCCCGCCTGGAGGGGCCGCGGTGCGCCGCCCTCTGTGCCGCGCGCGTTGCGCCGATCGTGAGTGGTTGCCGCGGGACCGCTTAGCTTTAATCGCCGGCCTGGCACAGGAGAGCAGCGACGGGTCGCGCCGGGCCGGCCGGGCGTGCCCGCCGCCGCGCCCGGTCGCGGCCACCAATCAAAAACACGGGTCCGTCAGGCGCGGCTGGCCGCGGGCCGCCGCCGGAGCCGTCACGTGGGGGCTGCTCCCGCCGCGGGGCGGGCACCGCCGGCGACACTAGCGCCCCTGTCGGAGCGCCAGTGGCGCCGCGCGCGGCGGCGGACCGCGGCGGTCGCGCCGGGTAGCCCCCTAGAGACTAGGCCGCCGGAGAACGCCGTCAGAACAGTGTGTTATAGCGAGCGATACCGGCGCGGTTACGAGTCCTGTTACATGACGAGTGAAAGCTGGCGTGATCATGTGTGCCTGCGTGCCGTGGAGAGTCTTGTTTGTATTTTTAAGGTATTCCTCACCGAATTACGTCGACGTCTCGAAGCTATCCCCGTGATAAGTCCTGTTCCGTGGTAATGACGGCTTCCATCTGAGTCCTGCGACGAAAACACTTGTTTAAAGTAAGCGACTGGCGAGAGTAAAGCGTGAGATGGCGCGCAGTCGCCCGGCGGCGGATGTTGGTTGTTGGTCAGCAGTGCCGGCTGCAGCGCCGCCATGACGTGTATTTTGTAGCAATGGTTTTATAGCCGCCCCGGCTGCTGTCTCACAGCGTCCATCGTGCAAACAGATTTGAACCGCCACTGTGGGGGCGCCGATACTTAACCCGCGTAGGCACTGTTTTAGCATGCTGTTGCGGCATGGACCGCCGGCGCCTCGGCGCACTGGCGTATGCAGTAGGGGCGCGAGGAGGGGCCGGCCCCCAGTCTTCCTGTTGAGCCGGGCCACGTTGTGATGGAGGCCCCCTTCGTTGTGCGAGACGCGGCGGCCGGGGGTCCCCCGGGCCGCCGGCCGCCCCCCGCGGGTGCTCGGCGTGTGCATGCGGCCTTTATTTATTGTTAGGAGATGATGCTGTACATACGCTCTGCGGACAACAAGCGTAGTTAGTTGTATGCGGTGGCTCCCTCCGCGACGGCGCGCAAGACGGTCCCCTGGGGCGTGGCCCTCGCTCCCTCCATGCTCAACAGACGTCAGCGCGCCCTCGCTGACGGGGCCGTCCCCTGTAGCATAGCTGTGGGCTCGGTGGCGGGATAGGGGTCGCTAGTGCTGGTTCTGTATAGCCTAAGTGCCTTGCGTAACAATAAAATTAACGTCTAACGCCTGTGTCCGCGGTGTACGGCGGCGGGGCTGGGGCTGCTTACGCCATAGTGGAGCGTCATCGGTGCCATGATCTTGCCATGCGGTGGCGGTGCAGCTCGTGGCCGTGCCATGTGTGCGGCGGACGAGATGCGGCGCCGGCAGAGGGAGGTGCCGTGCCAGCAGTGTGCCGAGGAACACAGCCACCCTGCCCGCAGGGCTCGTCGCCCATTCGTTGGTGTTGGTCCGTAGCGACTGTAACGTCGTTATGAGCCACGCTCCCGCAGCCATCACGGCCACTAGGTGGTAACGCTGATTGGATGTCGAGCCTCACATTTGTCCTGCGGAGTTTTTCACCTGCGTCTCTGCGAAAGGGCCTTGGAAGCGCCCCTCCCCGTTAAACCCTTAAAACTACGCTGAAGTCGAAGTCACGCAAACCGCCAAGTATTGGAGGGCCCTCGTCCAGTTACGTCAGATATGCATGCTTAAACAGTGCTGAATGTAAACTTCGACAGGTCAGATCAGGTCAAATAGTGAAACTAGCACCCGGTCCCCTCCGATTACCTAAGCACGCTGCTTATCTAGTGTGTCTGCAACTTATTTGGACGCAAAAATTTGTCACAGCTAAGCATCGCGCGCACTTAATTGCCAATCTTACATGTTTGTGTCGATCTATATATGAATGGCGAGTGTTTGATTTAGCCCTGTTTCTGTGGGCTATGAGCTGTATGTTTTAGGATACCTGCGGTGGACAAACGTTTTTACGATAAGGGGTCGCAGTGAAATTCATTCTCAGGGTTTGGATTATTTTTTGAAAGGTGCACATGTTTATCAACCAAATGTCATGATGCAAACGCAGTTAAGTAAAAAGGGGTATTTCATAGATCTATGATTGAAACTGAAATTCCAGGCTGGAAAAAAACGGTTTGATTTTTCAGGTATGAAGTTAATGCTGTTTTTGGTGTATGTGACGATACAAACGTCAGCTACGGCTATGCTTTCAATGCTATACGGCTATGCTATGCAATTTAAGATGTGTGATGTATTACGTAGGGGCGTATCTAGGTCATAAGTGTCACTTCTTTGCTAACCCACCAAGTGGATCTCCAACTTTGAGTGCCTGAAAATGCTCCTGCTAAATATTCATGATGTAAGTTCCGTGTCATTTGTTATAGGTTGTATAATTCCATTTGTAACCTTTGCATTATCCCAAGATATGTCGAAATTATACCGCACGCCCTCCGTTTTATTTGGTCTGGGGCAACGCAAACGAAAGCAAGCAAAAAGGTCACAAATAAAGCAAGAGCCTGGAAACCCTATAATGAATCGTTCTGTTTTAAAAGTTGAACGTAGTACACGCAATACATGATCGATTTCAATGCACGCTGGCTGCACATGTAAACACAGATCTATTCTCAGGTGTGTTCCTCTTCCCAGTCCCTGAATGTGCCTTTGTTAAATAGTTGGTGCCCTCACCCAGACTTTATAATGCATATGGCCATGTTAAGGAGTCTGTGGCCCATATTTTACCTCAAAATGCAACTGAAATATGCGACACAAACCTTTGTTTAACACCCTCCTTGCACGGGAGGCTACCTACCAGACCGAAAGTCTGGAACCGTTCGGCACGACCAATTTCGTTGAATTTTTTACACAAAATCTGTCCTGTGACGCTGCGGCGAGCAGTTGAGAATCGGAGGACAAAAGAACGGCGGGGGGGGGGAATGGACAGATTATCACCCGCGGAGAATAGGGATAAGTCATAAGAACTGATGGGCGCACCTAGAAAAGGGTCTGGAGCGCTTGAAGTGCGGTATAGATTGGTCCAGAAATGTTCCATTAGCTTAGCTCTCATCTTACAGCCTAATCCTGCGAGCTATGGATCGACCAGGTAGCCCTGAAACCCTGCAATGGATGAATAGCCACCGAGCGTGTAAAAGACGGCTAGATGTCATACTTTGACGCGTCACTACGAAATTGCGGCTATCCATAAAATAAAATATGTTTATAGTCCTTGCATGCTGGCGTGCGACTGGTGCTTCCAAACGTGAATGAGACAATCATTTTTGAAGCTACACAAATGATTTCGCCGAATATTCAAGCATAGCATGTCCCTACCAGTATTCAAATGCAGTTAGGCCGAACTCCTGCAACAGAAACTTGATTTTCAACGCCCAGCCGGCCACGATGAGGTATAAGTTTGAGAACCTTCCCTAGCAACGTGGACTTTTGGGTCCTTCGACTCCGAGATTCTGCAGCGAACACTCCTGCCTGAACATAGGTCCGTCTTTCTTGCCCAATCTTCCAACGAGCCGTCAAAAATCTACACGCCCGTCTATGCACCCGCATACTGATGCGCGGCTCCAGCACAGTGAAACGTACTGCGTGTTTGCCCGATTCAACACGTGCTTACCTCACCTTCATGCGACAGATGTCAATTCGGTGCTCTCTCCCAAGGAGCGACGGATCACGAGAGCTTTGCTTTGCGACATGGTTTGCATAGGGCGGCCACCGGCGACGCTCCACGGCCCGTACGCCGCGCGTCTCGGCTGCACAAACAGCTGACCACTCGGCCCAGCTGCGGCTGAGCAGTCGCACCTGGCCGCCCAGCCGAACACCCAAGGAGCTCGGCTGCATTATCTGCTCACGACTCCAAACGGACACCCACGAGGGGTGTCTGCATCACCCCCTAAACAAATCGCGTTGGGCTTCAGCAAACGCCTGCGGAGGAATGTATAGGCACGGCGGTGTCCTGGCGCCCTCTGCCTACGACAGCTGCAGTCGGCTTGACCTGGCTTGGCGCGCGTGTCGCGCAGGGGTCATGCGAGGACAGGGGCTTGAGTCGTGAGATGGAATGTGGCGGGGCTTTTTTGAAGGGGTTCATTAGAGACGTCCGAGACCTCACAATGTTTCTGAACTTTAACTGGTGCATGGAGAGCAACGTTGCCAATAATCTGGAACAAATGCGTTCACGTATCGAGTTGTCCGCTAGTATTCAAAACACCCCTAAAATAAAATTGCTTCTAGATTGAATTTATAAAGACAGACAGCCGCTGCGCTGTATGGGTTGCATTTTGCGCCCAAACCTAAAATAGTGCAGATCTGGTGAGCGCTGGCGACCAAGTTACGTGTGCTTTGTGAGAAAAAGTAGCTATTTATTTATTTTACCATGTACCGAGGATTGCAGAATGTACCGTCACGGGTCGTTTGGTAGTGACCGGT